CACTCAGAGATGCTGTAAACATGCTCGAGGGTTTAAAGGAAAGCATGAACACAATGAGAGAGCGAAGGGCTATAAAAGCCAAAAGCCACTGCCAGAGAGAACACACTCACTGAAATGAATAGCTCACAGGACAGAAGCGAGAGCGTATTAGACATGCAGAAGCATTTAACGAGCAAGATAAATCACGACACATGAAGCGTATGGAGGGGAAAGGACTGAAGGTGAACAGACCTCAATGGCCGTAGGAAAAATTCAAATAGTTTAATTGGTAATTAAAGTCCCCAAGGCAGGAGGGTGAACAATATCTGACCTCAACAAACCCAAACAGCACAGATACAAAGAGAACCAACCCCAGACTCGTCATAATTGAAATGCTGACACCTGCAGTAAATAGAAAACCTTAAAGCTCTCTTCCAAGTGGTACGCCCAGAGGCACATCCTTCACCTTTCACAGGGCATCTACTTGGGGGTGGGGGAGTATCCCTAATTTGCATACAAGCTACTCAGGTAGAGGCCTTGAGAAAAGCTGCTGAGCCCTCCCCAACCTCAGGGTCTGCTCTAGACCTTTCTCCTAAATTATATTTTGGCCAATCCGATTTTCAGCTTTCCCTCAGCATATTCTCTGGAGAGTGAATCTGCGAAACTTTCCAGACCAATGTGAAAGTTCTTTGGGAAAAAGCTTCAAGCATATAAAACAGTATTTGTTATTTTAGTCACGTCCTCGTTATAGTGCAACAGAAAATGGCCCAAGTCACAGCGCAGGGCTTCCTGAGGCAGCCCGCGGGCTCTCGCCTCCAGCTCCTGCGCCGTCACGAGGCTCTCCCAGGGGCCGGGTGCTGGCCCCCGCGGCGGAAGGACACACACCTGCTTGCAGGTAGGGCCTGGGGGGGAGTGAGGAATGGACACAGGAGGGCCCCAGGGACTTCTACTGTGACCTCCATGCTTCAGACAAAGCATGCCCAAATGTTAGCACGTCACTTCTCAGAGGTGTGTGGTCACTGGTCTCACTACTGCTGAACTTCTGTTTGCTTGGAAACAACCCCACAACACAAGCAGTTCCTGATCACTCTTCCAACCCCCGGAGCAGCGGCAGGAACGTGCCGGAGGCGTCGTGGCGGACACGGAGTCGGCTTCCAGAGCGCGCTCCATCCGCCTGGCGCCCAGACTCTGTGCTCCGCGCTGGGAGCCACACTGTGGTCTCGGGCGGCGTTTTTACGCTCCCAAGCGAACCATAAGGAATGCGATGCATTCAACCAAAACAGAGGGTTCTGGTCAGACCCCTCCTCACGCAGCAGTTACACATCGCCGTGAGTCCATCTCCACTACCGAGCAAACGTGTTTGAAAATGGGCAATGAGGCTGCACTGCCTTTCTGAGAAGGAAAAGGTGAATTCACCAAAGCTCTGCCAATGCCATGGCTCTGCGAGAGCCCTCACTCTCCCTTCCTCCAGTGTCACTTGCCAAAGCTGTGACAGCGACCACCTTGGATTTGAAAGGGGGATGCAGTTGAGCCCCGGCTTAACCTCACCCTGCTGGGCCCGAGGTTGGCAGTGAGGGCCGGGTCACCATGTGGTGCCTCCCTCCACCTTGCCCCGCAGAGCGGCCCTGCACACGAGTGGAGAAGGTGCTGTGGGCCCGGAGCAGAGGGGAGGGTGCAGAGGAGGAGGGATGCCCTCGGAGGTCGGAGGTCGGCCTGTGAGCTGTGCCATGGGCACAGAACCCACACCTCCCCTCCCCGGCCGGGCCCCTCCCCACCTCCCCGTGAGGATGAGCTGCGTGTGGAACCGCACAGGCACAGGCATTGCCAGCCAACAACCCAAGGCCCAGGGAGTGAGTTGTTCTGTGAGTTGCACTTACTCTCACGTGGGGGGTGATGCAGAGGAGCGGCTGACACTCAGGAGAGGGGCTGGCAGTCAGCACAGGCTCATCTGAGAGTCTGCCCCGGCCGGCGGGCCAGGGACAGCTAGGGGCGGAGACGCTGTGCGCTTGAGGGGCCCTAGGAGACCAGGGTGGGGGATGGTGTCGAGGCAGCTCTCGGGTGGAGAGTGGTGCCAGGTCTAGGAGGTTACAGAAAGGTCACGGACACGGTCATGGACCCAGTCCCACGCCCACGAGATACTCTGGGGCCCGCCTGGAGGGGAAGCTGAGCGCGAGCGTGGACAAGCTAAGCTGGAGGACTGATGAGGCAGCCACCGTGGAGGCATCGCGTGGGCGTCACAGACCCCGGGGCCAGAGCCGTTCCTTTGAGGACTTCCCCACGCTCACGGCCTGATGTGTGCCTGTGGATGTGGGCATCGGGCACCCCAAGTTCTCCACTGCAGAAGTCAGACCCAGACATGGCAGAAAACACCCCACCTTTGGGAATACATGAGTGTGGGGGGGTGTCCTGCCAAAGCTGCTTAGTACAGAGTGAAAAATGAAAGAAAGAAAATAAGAACCAACTTTGTTTCAATAAAGCGGCGAGGTCCGAGCCGGGGAGCAGGGCGGGCTCTGCCCCGTCAGCATGGAGGGTCTCACCCACTTCTTCCAACCACGCGCCCCTCACACGCCGCCGAGTGCGAGGGCTCCTGTGTGCCCACGTCTGAGTGGTTTCCCACGCGGCAGGCCAGGCCTCTCTCTAATGCAGGAACGTTCTTCCCTCCCGCGAGGCGGGACCTGCCTCCCTGGCCCCCAGCCCGGCCTGGCTCACCCCCAGAGACTGACCTCCCGCCGTCCCAGCGCGTGGCCCGGGGAGCTGGCGTTGGGAGCCCTCTCCCTCTGAGGAGGGGAACCCTGCAGCTGACAAAGACTCCAAAAGCAGCACTGTCCAACTTCCCTAAAACAAAGCCACAGAGCGCCATGGCGAGCGCACGGACAAAGGTGTCATTGTGAGAGGAACAGGGTGAACTGAGTCCAAATCACCTCCCTGACAAGACCGGACACAGTGTTGTGGAGGGAGTGGCGTACTCTCGGCAAAGCGAGGCTGATGGCGAGACCAGCCACCCTGTTCCCAGGGCCCAGGTCACCGCACCAGCCGAGCGTCTTCCCCATAGAAACGGCTGCCGGAGCCCAGACCCCGGGTGAGCCAGGCCGTCCTGCTCAACGCAACACAAACACCTCTGCGTGGAGACACCTGAGGTTCCCCCGGCTCCTCTCAAGCTCCTTCCACCACTGCGGACGGACGGGCTGGGGCCTCCTCCTTCCCCGGAGGCGCCCAGGAAGTGGGGTCAGGACCTGCAGGGGCTCTGGGCGAGGGGTGGGGGCCGAGGGCGCACAGCGGCTCTGGCTCAGCAGCCACTTCCCCGCTGTCTCCACGGCCCTGAGCCATGGCCCAGGGTCTGCCTCAGTGCCTGTGCCGGTGAAGACGGGAGGATGCAAGCACGTGGCCTGGAACGAGCGTGCGAATTGAATGAGAGGACTTTCCTTCCTACGTGTGATCAGTAAAGACACTGAAGAAGGAAAAAGAACAAAAACATGACCAAGACCTAGTGACCCGTCTCAGCTGCCTGGCACGTTCCTGAGGGCAGAGCGTGCGCACGGAACAGCGCCTCCTCCTCCCCTCGGCCACGGGGGCCACCCGGGACGAGGGCTTCAGGGGCCAGCCCTCCCGGCGCACCAGGGTCTGAGGCGGGAAGGGAAGGTGGAATGGGGGTGGAAAGCCCCCACGAAGGGGAACCACTGCCACCAGCCAGGACACCACTTCCTTAGGAAGGACACGGGGCCCAGGAGCCAGGGACTTCCCACTTGGGAAGGTCAGCGTTTTAAAAAGCACACAAAGCCTCAGTGTAAAGCTCCTACGGCTCTGGCATCTACTGCGGACAGAAGAGAACTTCAGAGACCAGCAAAGCCAATACCTATGACTCCACTGAACACAGTGAATAAACTTCTCAGTGATACGTTCCCTGCGAAGTGAGCCTTTTACCAGAAGAGAGGCCGGAACGCAGCAGAGGGTGGGCATGGACACATCTCTAAAACCACACACTTTATCCTGGATTTAGTGACAGGTCCGACTGCTTTTTAAGGAAGCGATTCCCACTCCGGGCTGAGGCCGGATTAAATGGCCGGGCTATCACTGCACATAAAGCGGGTAACACAATTCCTTTTATAAAGAAACAAAGCCCCAAACACGAACTTCAGGCCTGTGCAGGCTCAGTTCCAGGTGTGACCTCGCCTGTGGCTGCGGGTGGACGCCCCTCCCTGCCTGGGGCTGGCCGTCAGGGCAAGCAATCCACTCCCAGGCCCAGGGGGAAGCCAGCAGCTATGGGACGACATAAAGCACCAAGAAAACAACACTCCGCTTCTCTCTAGTGTCAAGAAGCGGCCTCAGCCCGCTGGCCCGCCCGGGCGCTAGGCTGTGGCCTGGACTCAGTGAGAAGACAGTGCTGGCACGTTCTGATAAAGGATACAGGACAGAGGAATAGATTCATTAGAACCCTGTAAAGACCACCTGTGAGCAGAGAGGCTTTTGTGAGCATCAGAAGAATCAAGGAAGCTTTGGAAGCAACTCTCCCAGGACCTTGGAGCTCAAAGCGAGCCCTGGGCGAGCAGGGAAGTAAGAGGCCTCAGCCGTCCCCTGGGGGCCAGTCCCATCCAGGGCCCCACGTGCACGAGGGTTACACACAGAGCCTCTGCCCCTCTCCCCGCTCTGGCCACCTGGGACCCTCTCCTGGGAAAGGGGGCGTTTGCGGCTCAGAGTGCCCAGCAGAGCTCGGAGCCGCCCGGGTTCCGAGCGGCTCTCTCACAGGCGCAGGCTTGGGCTTGTCAGCCAGGGTGTGGGCTCGCCACGCAGCTGCCTTCACGCTGAAATTCAGGTTCACCACACGTCTGCGGGGAATGGCTTCCCAAGCATGTCACGGGCACCGGGGGCGAGGGGGAGCCCCCCACTAGCCCTAACACGCCCCCCACACTCCCGGGCGTGGCAAAGAAAACACCTATTATGAGTGAGTTAATGGCAAATACACTTTCACAATTTGAAAACGTCATTAAAAATAATAAAAATATACATCAGAAAGTGTGACTTACCGCCGTCAGACACAGTTGCAGACTGAAAGAAAAGAGAGAGAGACATGAGTTAATTAGGCCTCATGGCAAAGTCGGAAACAGCAGTCCCTCCGAGGAACCCAGCTGGGGCTGCTCCGAGGCTCGCTCCCCGCAGGTGCCCAGCAAAACCAGACGCCTCAGTGAGTCAAGTGCGCTCCCACTTCCTGAGCGGACTCCGCCCAGCCGTGGGTGAGCACGGCCACATCAGGACGGGCGGAAGTCCCCGTCATTTCATTGGAAAAGAACAAATCCCAGCACGTCGGGCCTCAGCTCAGCGAGAGCCTCAGGGAGAGCACGTCTGCATGTTCACCTGATGGGCGAGGGCTGCGGTGGGGCAGTCTCACAGGGGCAGGCGATGTGCCAACCGTCCGTGCAGTGCCGCTGGCTTTCCAGTGGCTGTGCCCGGTGCCAGCGCTGCCCTGGGCACAACACACCCCACTCGGTGCCTGCACCCTGGTACCAGGCTACTGGTACCCCCTCCACTGCCCAGGGCAGACCCGGATGGCAAACCACCAGGACCAGCCACGCCAGGTGTGGGAGGAGGGGCGCAGCAGGCAGGCGGGGCAGGTTTCCAAGGAGGGCGCCTGGAAGAGGGCGAGGCTGGAGGAGAGGAGGGCTGGCTCCCGGGGACAGGGCCACGTGCTGCAGCTGGGACTGGAAGGAGGCTGCGGTGGAGAGAGGCCTGGAATGAGACACTCAACAACAAACGCTGCCGTGTAGTCCCGGCCGGGCGGCAGGGGCTGAGGGCTATGGGAATGCGTTCTCAGTGGGCAGCTCGGGGCTGCCTTGTGGGAAGGTCACTTCCACCTGGACGTGTGGAGGGAGGAGAATCTGGGGAGGTGGGGGAAGGGTGGGAGCTGGGGGGGCGCTTGGAGGGGAGCAGGCTCGATGCTTCTGCCTGCTGGTCCATGCCCAATGCGATGCCCCAAACCTCGCCACTAGCCTGCATGGAAGAGGGACAGGGGCCTCTCCCATGCCGAGCAGACCTTGTCGCAGCCCCTCACCTGCGGGAATTGCACCTGGAGCCCAGCGAGCCAGCTAAGTGGCCCACCTGCCCCCGGAGGGGCTGCCACTCTTTCAGACCGTCACGAGGCCTGGGCCAGAATCTCCGAAACTGTCGCTCGGCACCTTATCCATGGCTTTCAAGGGTCAAACATGTGCGGCTGTGTGTCCAGTTTTAAACTGCCATCTTGCCAAGAGCAGCCGCAGCCCGTCCTTGGCTACCGGCCTCGGCGCAGGGTCTGGCTTCCATCACAGAAGCAGGCGGGTGTCCTTCCCGGCGGACAGAGGCCGTGACGGCTGTCCCTCGCCCACACTCACCATCGATCGCCCAGCCACGCTACACATTAGAGAGTATCGCGGGCAAATGATTCCGAGACGAGGAGAGGGAGATCTGCGAGGCACACACACACCACAAACTGTGTGTCCACCAGGAGCATCTGAGAAATAAGTCATCCCGTGCAAGCGGCAGGAACGTGAGGACGGGGCCACTTCAGGGTACAGGTTAAACGAGTGCTCGGGCCGTGGCAGACACGACAGAGGCACTGCAAACCCTCCACACGGGCCCCAATGCCCTGAGACGAGGTCTGGGAGGGTCGCTGCAGCCAGAGACGGAGGAACGTGATGCTGAGTGGGATGCCTGAGGGGTGGGGAGAGGGGGCCACGTGGACACGGCGAGCAGGGTGGGCTCAGCATGCCCGCGGAGGGCTCAGTGGGAGGCTGCGCTCCAGCCTGTGGGGCCTCCGGTGCAAAGCACGCGGATCCAATGCAAGCTCAACAAACGTGCTGCTGGAAGCGCACTGTGCTTTGTTTTTTGGTGCAGCTTTAGATTTGCAGAAAAGCTGTGAAGACAGCACAGTAACAAACATGCTTTTTAATAGTGCTGCTCCCACAGAAGTAAGGGGAGACCCTGGAATGGAGAGCGGTCAGCAAATGCCACCACTGCCGGGGCAGGGCCGGGCGTCACGCAGTGCGGGCCACTCAGAGATGCCCCAGGCAGGCAGCCACACACAAGGCCTTCTGGGGAGAAAGCAGCCCACGCAAATATGAGCTCACAGTTCAAAAACCCCCTAAAGCCAAGAGAAACCCACCCTGAGAAAGAGCCAGCAGAACGGACAATGGAACTGAGACACTGGTAAGCCCTACCCCACACAGGGTGTCAGAGAACATGAGACTATAGAGAAGGAAAAGCTGCTGAAGAAGAGGAAGCAGGCGGCAGATTTGAAAACCCCCATCGGATGTCTGACAATGAAAATTATAACTGTTGGCATTCAACGCTCAATAGAGAGGTTGCAGACATTCGAAGGCTGGAGAGAAGGTGTGGGAACTGGAAGACAGACTTGGGAAAAACGAGGCACAGAGAATAGGACAGGGGTGCGCAGTGCGGGTGGTGAGCAGGCGGGAAGCCCTAAAAGTGCTCACCACCCGCGGCTGTCCCAGCAGGCGCTGCTCAAGGTGCCCACCAGGACGGTGCTGGTTCCAGAGGCCTCAGGGGCCAGCATGTCCAGGAAGGACTCAAACGCCTGAGGCACAGCCTCATCCGATCTCCTTCCCTCCCTGAGTCTGGGTCGTGTGCCCAGAGTTATTTCCCAAGCCCAGACTCTAAGGATAGTTCTAGGCATCCATGGTGGCCTCTGTACTGAGGGTTCTCCCGGAGGGGCCAGCGAGGACTCAGAGGTCACGGATGTCCCCTGCCCACCTCACATCTACTTGTAACTGCGGAACCAGCTCGGACCGGTCCCGTCCGGATTCCCACGAGGCCCAGATGCACACTCACGAGGGACACAGGTGAGTCCTTCGTTGCGCCCACGTGGAACCAAAGGGCCGGGACAGGGCCGGACATGAGACTCGGGGCCTTTCAGCAGCCAAGGGTCTGCTGTCCAGGAAGGCCCGGTGCTGAAACCTCAGACCCCACCGAGCCCTGGATGGGGCGGGGCTGAGCCTGCCCTCCTGTGTTTGAGCTGGTCGGCTCACACACTAAAGCTTTTTTCTTTTCTCAAAAGCTGGCACCATCGTGTTGGCTGCCACGCGCATCAGGCAGCGAGCTCCATCCAGAAGCCCTTGATAAATGGTAAGCTCACACTGGGCTGCTCCCAACAAGTCAGTGTGAGGAGTGCCACCGGGAGCCAGCCCAACCCTTTATTCGTGGTCTCCACCTCCTCTGTTCATAGCCCAACCAGACATTGACCTGAAAGGAAAGCCCGGAGACAGAGTTAATGTCACCCGGACATAAAACCACTGTCCTCCGTCCAGGTCACATATGAGCGAGAAACAGGCCACTCAACCTGCAAATGAATAGGTGTAGTTACCATAACCCACCTCCAGCTGCTAACACGTGCGGATGCGCAGGTGCGCACCGGGGCAGGGCAGAGCCCGACCCAGCTCCTGCGCGGGAAGCACCCAGGACGCGAAGCAGCGGAGGAGCGCGTGGCCAGGCTTCATCCTCCCAGGCGGCGGCGGGTGTACAGGGGCGGAGCAGGCAGTGCCACGGGAAGGGCTGGCCGGGGAGAGGAGGGCGGACGTGCCCTGTGGGGAGTGTGGGGTATAGCGTGCTTTCCTGGTGGCTAGTGCTTGGTGTGGGGTGGAGGTGCAGGCAGACAATCCACCGACCTGGGGGGTGTGGGAAAGGCAGGTGACCCAGATCATATCATTCTGCCTTGGGACTGGCCGCAGGTCCAACTCTGACCACGCTGCCCTTGGAAGCCTGGTTTGCATGCTCTGAGCACATCCTGGCTGACTGGCGGCGCAGTTCACAACGGAAGCCCTGGATCATTCCAGAACACCACAGAGGCAAGAACACTACAGAGGCAGCCTCAGCTCGGGGACTGAAGGTTAGGCGTTGCCAGGTCCTTGGCTTCTGCTAGGCCACGGGAACGTTTTTATGAAGTAAGACCTACCATTCCTCATGTTTCCTGATCCCCGGCACAATGTGTATTAATAACTTGTTTGCATTTTCCGCATTCTCTGGGTCCCTCCCAAATCCGCGTGTTACACTCACAAGAGAACAGCCGCAAAGGAGGCTGCCAGGGAAAAGGTCCCGGTGCGCCAGCACCTTCCCCTGTGACGAGAGAAACAGACCCGGAAGGAGGCCGCTTCACCAGGGCCAGGCGCCGCCTCCCGCTGGCCTCCACGCTGACAGATACACGGGTGTGAAAGGGACTCACAACGCGTCTGGGTGGTGACTTAGGCTCAGACCGCCCTGCGTGCCCCCCAGGCTGCTCCTGCTGCCCCCAGGCTGTTCCAGCTGCAGAGCCTGGTACAGGGGCCATGGGTGCGGGCCTGGGAATGCGGCAGAGATGGCCCCACAGCTCCCCTGCTCAGCCCCGCCCCGGCTCATGTGCTGGGGCCGGAGATGAACCCAGAACCCCGCCTCAGGGCAGCCTGGACAGAGGGGGTGAGGCGGTGCCCCGAGCTGTCACAGGAGGGACGGGTGTGGCGGACACAGGGCTGGCCTGTGAGAGGGGCAGGGCTCTGAGGGGCGAGCAGATGGAGAGTGAGGAGTCCAAGTCTGAGGTGGGCACTTCGCCACCAGGCCTCCTGCGCATCCAGGGAGACGGAGGGACATGGACGTGCTGTGGGTCTGGGGTGGGGGCCAGTCTCTAAGTGACAGCACAGAGGACCTGGGTCAGGAGGGAAGCGCGAGGCCGGGAAGGCCCAAGGACAGCCACACAGACGCTGGGAGAGGCAGCTGCTCTCAAGAGGGACAGCCCCTGCTCAGTGGCCAGGGTGGGGAGAGGGCGCAGCGGGACATGCTCGCTGGCTGCCCGCAGGCCCGGGCGGAGGAGACGGCAGGAAGGAAGGCCGCATGCACGGGGCCTGCTTCTGCGTGAAAAGGGGAAGCTGCGGGACAGCCTGGAGCGGCGTTTCCCTCCTGCGCGCCTTCCTAACAGATAACAGTGAGCAAAGCTGACCCTGAGGGGGACAAACACCGCCCCAACAGGCGGCGGCCCCTCCTCCATCGGCCTTAGGTGCCCAGACGTGTGGACCGAGGAGGTGTGCGCAGGG